AGTGCCTAACATTTGGTGTAAATCTTTAAAGTTGTAAATAAACCAACATTTCGAATTTATACGCGGCTCTGAATAAACCTGATCCCATATATATGCAAATGATTAGAATTACAGACATGCACTTGCATTTTGACCTCCAGAATTTAGTAAGGTGTGAAGCCGCCACGCGCTGATATCAGAGCCTCTTGACGTCGAGGCATGGATTGAAAGAGAGCCTGGATATGCTGCTGGGGAACACACTGTCACGAGGTTTCTAAGCGTGACCGCAAAGAATTGACAGCGCCTGCAGGAGGACCAGAACGATCAAGTTGCCGACAGATCATATTCCAGACTTGTTCGATGGGCGACACGTCAAGCGAATGCGCAGGCGAGGGAAGCGGTGGTATCCATCGTTCTTCGCAGAAAGCTTGCACATTCCTCGCCACATGCGGTCGGGCGATGTCCTGCTGAAATATGGCATGTTGAGCTGCTTGCAGGATAGGCAGTACTGTCCACTCATTCCTCACACGCATCACTGTCGTATCAGCGTGCGCCGTTCCAACCGCAATGTCACGATACAACAAACCCACTTCCAGAGGACTGATCATTTGCCCCGTTCGAATTCACTCAGATGCTGATAAGACAGCACTTGCTTGTACGTTTCAATTTCGTTTGACGGCTCTAAACCGAGTGAGAGTGGCGTAACACTGACCTGACCTGTCACACAGAGGGCGCAGCTAAGTCCATGTGCACGCCATCTCTGAGCAAATTTAATCAATTCTTATTGATACACTGTTCTACAGATCCGCCGATTTTTAAATGATTCCGACCATTCCTTCTTGATGTTGCACAAACACTAGTGTATATCAGGGGTTTTCAAACTTTTTTCGATTACGGCTCCCTTGGCCTACACGAAACTTTCCACGGCTCCCCTGGAGACAATAAGTTTCAAACATAAGCGTTAATATAGGCCTAATAAAGATTCAACACAAATGTGTACGTGATACAACAGGTTATTAATAAAGGACTTGCCAGGTTCAATTAATCCATAATTAATTAGTAAAATAAATCTTATATTACAAATAACATCTAGTATGATAGTGCACAATTATTTTGTAGACATAAATTACAAAAGTATTAAAGAAAAGCAAATTCAAAGGTCATTTTTTATAATCACTGCGATGCCCCTAACATATGGCGCAGTTTGAAAACCCCTGATTATATATACAACGCTACAATAATAGCGTCATCTCTTCAGTTCTGATTTTTTTCAAGAGCTTATACACAGGTGCTACTATCACTGCGTAGTTCGGGCAGAACCGATTATACTAGTTGAACATAACTAGCATGCTTCATAGCTGTCGCGGATTGCGTGGCGCCGGTTTTTATCTATTTACCTAAGCTTGCCTTCCTTCATACGAATTCCTTCTTTCGATATCTCGTACCTTAGAAAGTCGAATTTGTCTTCGCAGAAATCTGTTTTGTCCAGTTCAAATTATTACGAATTAAGATTTGAAAATTAGTTTTAAGTCATCCAGGTGGTCTTCAAACGTTCTAAACTTGGTTATCATATCTTCGATATACAAGTGTCCCATTTAACATGACAACTTGAAATAACAAAAAATACGCAATGTACGAAAAATTGAGCCGAGCCCAAATCTTAACTTTGAAGGGGGAATCATTCTATGCTAAAATCAGCCCCTCCCTGCCCCAGCGGGTGGGATGGTGGGCAACATTGAAATCTTGAATAGAACCTCCCCTTTTTTTTATTTCAGATTCGGATTCTACGGACAAAAATACATAAGTTTTGCCTGAAACTTTTTTCTGATTTGTGATAGGTGGAGCTGTAATCGTAAAAATTTAATTTCCGAAGATTTCCGACTGTAATTGGAGTGGTTTTAAGCGTGGTCGATTATTTCTGAGTGGTTAATAAAAATCAGTATTTTCTACGAAAGTCAATAAACTACTATCAACGTAACCCAGGAACAACGACGTGGACGTAGTAGTTTTGTTTCCTTCGGGGTGCTTGTTTTCAGTGAGTCCCCTTGCCTCCCTAAAAATATTAAATCAATAATTTTCAATGAAACTTTGTTTAAAAACATTTCTAAAGATGAAATGTAAATATTCACACATACTTTTCCAATGCTGCAAATAGAAATTTAGTCTATCTCCTCACAATTTGATAAGAATGTTTTTTCTTCAACTCCAAACAACAAACTAAATATGAATCTCTTACTTAACTTGTGGATACAAGCCTAACTTATTTTATTAAATTGTAAATTACATTTTTCTTCCAAAAAATACCTTTACATGAGCTTACTAAAACACTATCAAGTAGAAATGCTGGAAAGAAATAAAAATATCATTGTACACTGAATCACCACATTTAATTTTTAAAATACATAAAACTCTGAAATTTTTGCCGATCTAATACAACACAAAACATGTAGAAGAACAGTTTTTCAACACTGTTTTGATTACTACTGAAGCTAAGTGAAATGGTACAAAAGAATTTTCAAAACTGTTCCATAATGAAAAGGAAAACTCATTTCAAAAGAATAATTCACATGTTTTAAATTGTCTTAAAAACTCAACAAACAAACCCTAATGCACAATAACTTACACATTTCCAGAAATTAAAATTGTTTTATATACAATTCAAGGAATGGAATCTCTTTTCTCTTTGATGAGATAAAAATATTTCTCATGATCAGTTTAATTTAATACATAGACATTGAATATATTAAAACCAATTGGTAGTAGGCATGACTTACTCATTGGTGGAACTTACAATGAGAAAGCAAGAAATAAGTTTGTAACAATATTGTATTGTAATACAGGAGACATAACTTACTCTGGAATTAATATTTTGCAAAACTGAGTTCTGCTTCAACAAAATTATAATAACATACTGTTTGTGAAAAAAATAATTTAATTAACATGTTTAATATTAACTGGGGTAGGAAAATATTTCAGCACATGATTTCTCAAATCAAATACACAAAGAGTATTTACTTGCATTTTTCTCTATTGTTTTTCCTTTACAGGTAACTTCTAAAAATACTTAATTTAGATAAAAATTGAAATATAAGAGTTCTTTCAAAAATAATTAAATGAAAAAATACCATTGCACTTCCCTAAAATGGCCCAGTCAAATCTTTTATTTTTATTTTCAATAATCAAGCACATTCATCAGCACTTGTTAATAATGGAATATTTTATGTTGTGTGATTGACTTAAATAGAAGTACATTAGTAAAAGCTACTTCACAAACAAGACAGTAATAAGACTATACTTAAAATGTGCTTTGTGAATGAAATACAACACAGCCAATTTTTACCTATCACAAGTTGAATTACGTATAAGAGACATATTTATAATATATTGCCTGCTGACTTAAACTTACACAAAGGCATTTCTAACATAAAATAAGACTAGTTGTTTATAGTCATAAAACTTTACAATTTAAAGTAATAGTACAAGTCAAATTTACAACAAAAAAGTATAAAAAATCCACTATGAATATCACTTGTATTCATAAAATAAAACCCATGACAGAAATATCAGTACCTCACAATTATTATCAAATCACAAAAAAAATATTGATCTTACCCGAGTACAAGACGAGTTTTTTCCCCTTAAGTATCTTGTGTGGAAATTAGAGGGTCCACTTGTATTAGCAGATTAAGCCTAGTCGGATGGGATTTGCTTTTAAACTATCTTTCCATGTCAAGAAACTAACAATATTACAAAAATGCACTGGAAATGTAATAAAAATCGCACTAATTGGAAGGTTTACTCATTTTTATTTGAGATTTAATTTATAAAACACAGTGAAAAATGACCAGGACCTTTATCTGATTAGAAAATCCAAAAATTATGTAACTTAATTTATCAAAAATGAAAACTTGATTTTTATTATTCTCACTCTTAATCACATTGATCTGAAGAGTGTTCCATTTATGAAAATCCGAATCATTTCAGGTTTTTATTAGGATGCTGCTTTTTTTCATTTAAAAAAATAAAATATCAATAAAAAATTCAGCTTAAAAATTAATATTAAATTCATCGATGGTTTCATAAAAACAGAGATCGATGTCGCATCCCTATTGAGCGATTTTTAAACTGTAAACCTGAGCCCTGTCTTCACTTTGGCATTATGACTGCATTTCGTGTCTTTCTCGGCCGCTAGATGTCACATGATCGCGACTGTATCAACCACTAATTCATTCGGACGCGACATCAAGAGGTACGACCAAAAACGATATGAAATGCAGTGACATAATGCCCATGTGAAGACAGGGCTCAGGTGCACAGTTAAAAAAATATCACAAAACAGTTTGCAACATGGAAAGATATGGATGAGCATGTATGGAGTTTGTTCACACTCAAATGTTAAACCACTATCAATCTTCTGCACATGCGCAGAATCAATAGTACAGATCAATAGTGCTGACGTGCACAAACCCCCTATATATTCCGGCGCACTGATTTTTGTTCGTTCTGCGCACCCCTAGTTTGCGCCACGAACCATGTGACCACACCTCGGGCACTTTTGAAAAGCGACCTGTAACCGCCATGTTGCATGGAGAGCCAGATATGTGGAGAGACATTTTGAAAGTGGCATAAAGTGACAATTTTCAACGGTGACCACGATGCACAAATATACCGATCTTTTTTTATCTTTGTTCGGAACACCTGACCAGTTCGTATCTGCGTTTTGCAAGATATAAAAATGGAAAAAAAAAATCGTATTGATAGAAGTACACAGTGCACTAAATAAATAATGAACTTCATAAGATAACACATTAAAAACCGCGCAAAATGTAGTTACCACTTTACTAGATTATGCTGAACACTTAGAGCTCCAATAGGGAACAGCAACGTCACTAAAGCTCTCACTTATAGGCTCCTTATTGGAATATGCATTTCCTCTCCTTTTTTCGTGCCTTGAGACACAACAAAACGAAGTACAAACTTCCGTTTTTATAACGTGGCGCGTCTGGGCCCGTCTTCACGATGGAATATCTCACGGCATTTCGCATCTTTCTCGGTCGTGCCGCTAGACACATCGCACTGCTTGACACGGTCGCGATCACGACCGAGAAAGATCCAAAATGGCGTGAGATATTCCATCGTGAAGATATTACTCTGGGATTTCTGCTATTGACAACGAAGGCCGGAGCCTCGTCAACCAACTTCAACAGCGAAGTGTCAAAATGTTAAATTAAAAGTGAATGAAAAATCTTTCTTTCGCATAAAATGCATATAAAATCATAGGTTGCACAGACTCGAGTATGTTTTGTTAATCGCGTTGACAGAAGCCCGGAACCTCGTAAACACGAGTAGCGAAGCGTCACTGCGTCTTTAAAGTTTGATGTTAAAAATATGTCATTCCGCTTGCGCTGGTGCCTCGTCATTCTTCATGTTCTCGCGAAAGTGAGCCAATTCCGCCTGGTTTGTGATAAAAGTCGAGAGCAAAAAATGCCCAAACATTGGAAACTTCGCTCTCTCCTGCGGAACATCTGTACAGAAATGATATTCATAGTTCACACACAGTACCGCAGTTTCCGAGTAAATATTTGGGCCTGGCGCGACACTAGAGCTCCCAAGCTGCTCTAAGTCTGGTGTACTACAAACGCACCCATAGATAGCGCGACGCGCAGGTAGCGTGGATTTAAGTTTTAAGAAACATTTGTTTTATTGTTCAGATTTATTATTGTTATTTTGTAAACATACGGCTCCCAAAAGGGGATTGCAGCTTCCTTATCACTTGGGCCACTAGTGATCTTTCAGTGGGGCCCATTTTCAGCTTGGGGAAAAATTTTATAAATGAACAATCTGCGGGACTGTTAATAAACCGTGGTTCACAACTAGATTATGCGAATTTAATGTTCATGGTTATTAAAGAATCAGAGGCCACGGACAAGTGTGCATCAGATAGAAAATATGGCAACAGAAGGGAATGATGGCGCACGGCGACAGATGACTAAGATCACACATTCTAAGTGAAAAATTTTCGGTGGTGGTGGAAGCAAAATGTAAGAGGTCGACCTAGTATGGGCAGAAGCAGATCAAGCCGATCATTGGGGGGGGGGGGCTCGTAGACTTTTGATAAATAATAAACGTATGTTAATATATTGTGTATTATTTATAGTATTGTGATAGTGTATTTATATTTATAGTATTAGTGCATTTATAGTATTGTTAGTGTACTTATTCAAAATTTACTCTATCAAAATATTTTAATAACGTGTATTTTCAGGAAGGGGGATTAAAATTTGTTTGACTTAGCCCTGGATACCTGAGCTAAGCCAAATAGGATACAGCTGGTTTTCAGCACCAGCGACCACTGTATGCGAGGACCAGAAATAAAGCAAGAAACAATTAAGATGGTATTGATAAAATCCACAATGATGATTTTAAAAAAGAAGAAAATAGTGAGAGCTCAGGGAAAATGTTTTAATATTCTCATCATGGCAATTTTATAGTTAATTAAACAATTTGCAATTCTATTTTGACTAAATAGTAAGAATAAGTTAATAAAGTTTAAAAAAATATCACAAAGCTTTTTCGAACTCAGGGGATCATCTTTTTTCAGAGTCGTCTTATATTCGGGTAAATATTGTATTTTACTTCCTTTATAAATTCTTAATGTCATAGAGAGTCCCTTATTAAAGTTTTTGCAATAGAGATTTACACAGAAACACTCTTAAAAATATCTTTCCCACAATGAAAAAATATATCTAACAAATCATCCATTTATCTGGAATCGTCACACATGAATTCTTTGGAGAAAAATGTATTGTAGCAGTAAAATGCAAAATGATATAGCATTATATTACCTGAACATTTTCTGCATGATGAGCACATTTTGTAACGTCTCTTGGTCCCCAAGATAATTCAGCTATTTCCAAATCACAAAAACAGATACCTGAGATGTACACATGATACAATAATTATCATGTTTTACTTAATTCTGAAGGTAATCTGTCTGGATTTTCTGGTCGGATCAATACTGCTTCCAATTTTAAAGAATCATCACAACGAATCAACACTTTCACTATGGTGAATACATCTACAACTTGAAATGTAGTTAAAGCATTCTCATCATCAGGATGCCAAACAATTTTCATTGGTGAGGACTTCTTACTAGGATCATTTGCTAAATCCACAGAGAGTTTCTGTAAATAAAGGATTAAAGATTTTGTAAATGTATGGATGTTGTTCTACTTTTGCAATATCAATTATGAAAATTTGACAATGGGCAATTTTAGTAGCACATTTCTGCATAAGTCATAATGCTAAGAGACTACCACTTCTGCTATGCAAGTAGAATTTTCTATTAATGCAACTGAGGTAGAGGGACATCTCCTTTGTAAACAGTTTGCGCACACATGTATGGATTGTTTTCAATGTCATTTTTAAATACCAGAAACAATTTACAACGATGTGTATTAGCACCAACTACAGTGACAACAGGGAATGCAATGGCAAAAGGAGATAATTAAGCAGATATAAAATATCAATAAGTCATTATATTCATAAGTAAAACAGTAAAATCCTAAGCAAAAGGAAATATAACATAAAAAAGAGAGTTAATACATTTCACTATTGTAAATTAATAGCTGCAAACGTCAAACTCTAGCAATTTTAATTATTTTATGTATCCGATTTATGCCATATTTACCACAAAAATCTTAGAAAACTATCAATCAGGAAGAGACAAAATGAAGGGGCATAGGATATGCCAAAATCGGAAACAATTCTTGGCAAGGCATAAAAAAAAAAATGCAAGAAAAGCAAAGAGAATTAAAAATATGAAATTATGCAATACATATTAAATTCCGTAGCATAACCAGAATGTGATGACCATGAACAAAACAGTATTATCTGTATTGCATCAAGTAGCATTTGACATTTCAAAGATCTACTTGCTCATAAATTAACTTGAAAAGTATACTTTTAAAATAAAATGTAATCTCTGCTTTTAACAGCTATTTTTTTTATTATTATTAAAAAGCAGAATGAAATGGGTTTAGATTTTCTTTGCTGTTATATAATAGCATTACAAAGTATATACAAATAACACATTCAGCTTTATACTCTAAAAATATAACAAAGATATATCACAGTTATTTGTGATTCTTCAGGACTCCTAATGAAAACAACACTAGACCATATTCTATCACAAAATTATTAAGAAATACTTACAGATATATACACTCGTAATGTCAGTCCAAACTTGATGACTATGACATCAAATGAATAGTCTTTCACATCAATAACTACAGCATCTTCAATAACTGTTGGTTGGTTTCTAATATATATAGCTAAATAAAGTTTAATACTCTGCTCTCCAGCTAGTTTGGCTGTATATTTTTTTTTGTTGCAATTTGCAGCAATTCTGAAATGTATAAAATTCAACCTCATCACACAGGCCACACAAAAGGGTTTTAACTTTGTATTGATCACCTAGACACTCACTAACAGTGACCTACAATTTATTAAAATATGAGACCAAAGTTCATTTAATAACTTAATGGTTTTAAGCTCTTGTTCAAAAATAAAACAAGAAAAAAGAATTTATTAACTACTGACTCTTTTGTAATTTCAAATATTTTTAATGTCATTGTTTCTCACAATGTTTGCCTTTTTTTTTTCTATTTACATATTATAAACAATACTTCAAATGTTTCATTTACATAAAAAAACTTAACCGGAGCATACCCTGAAACATGGTTTTCACTCCATGATGGTTTTGAACAATAGTTCAAAGCAGCATTTAACAAACGATGAACCATTACATCTGCATAGCGACGTATTGGCGATGTGAAATGAGTGTAAAATGGAACACTAAGAGCATAGTGCCAGAACTCCTCTTCCTTAACACCACAGCTACAGAAATATTTAGCACGCTAGAAATAATAATAATAATAATAATAATAATAATAATAATAATAATAATAATAATAATAATAGGTTCTTTAGAGTAAATAATTCTTACGGTCATAAAAGCTGTCAATACTTACAGTCATTGTCTTAGCACATAATGAATTCAATACTGCATGGCGAGTCCGACTCAGAAAGTCAGATCCAGAGTATTTCGTCAGAGAAGCTTGTAAGGCTCCTGCAGATGTAATGTTCAAGTGGATTCCTCTGGACGCCATTGCATTTTGCAACTGCTCTAAAGGCCACTGATGTGGTTCTGGGTGACTTCGCAGAAATGCTATGTCTGGATAGTTATCATAAATAAATTTCGCAGTACACATATTTGCCAATAGCATAAATTCCTCAATCAGCCTGAAAACAAAGAAATTAAATTCAATTTCCTGGAAATTAATCCCCACACAGTTACCAATCCAATAACACAGATGACATTTTAATTTAACAAAACCGGTGGACTTTTTGTCCACAATGAATGATTTTACAATCAATTAAGTAATTTTATAATAAATGGCTATTTATCAAATAACTTCTAACAGTATATAAAGATTATATTACATTTCAATTCTTAAATTTCAAAAATTAATGTACAAGGAGTTTCAATTAATTTAAAGTAACTTAGTAATGAGATACACCCAGGTATCCTAAAGAACATTTTCATTTAAAAAAATAATGAAATACTGGATTATTTCGAAACAATGGTAACTGAAATCGACTTTCTATATTTAACAAGAGGACATAGAGTAGCCATATTGGACACGGCAAGAATTAAATGCAAATATTACGACGTAAATATTAGGAGTCAGCAAATGCCTAAGACCAGAATAAACAGTGACTAATGAACATTGCGTATTCCTAATATAAAGTAGTCATGATTTGGGATATGACCAATTATAATTTTTTTTTACTTGGGTAGAGTCATGTAATGGAATTCATGAAAGGTAGACAACCAATGGTAACAGGTTTTAGAACAGGTGTATACATCAGAGCAGGAAAGGCGATTGTCGGCAGACGAGTAGTAGCCAATGGCGGAATTACTTACAAAACGTTATAAGACAAATGAAAACGAAGGTGATATATTTCACCGAGACCATAATTTTGTCGAAGTATTTGGTTGTCTTCGCGAGCACTTCAGAAGCTATTCGGTCGTTGTAGCGAGCACTAGAGAAGTTTCGTTAGACATGGTAGATATCCAGGTTACCATGAAAGTTTAGTTAACGCGATTTAAATCGTACATGGCATCCTGGATCTCTACCATGTCTAACAAAATGATTGTAGTAGTGTCGAATACAAATGCCCATCAGAGGCATTCGGGAAATTATTCATTGTAAATAGTTCGTGTTAGTTAGATTTAGAGGCATTAGCTTTCGTTCAATATCAACATCATGAAAGAAGAAAACGATTCTCGGCGGGAACTTCAATTCAACAGCACGCAGTCTACGAGTACAACTCCTTCGCAATGTGACGCGGAAACCGTCGTACGTGAGACGTATCAACGGAATGGCAGATGGCATGGGCGCAATTCACAGGGGTGCTATTAAAAGTATACCCGTTAAAACAAATAACTCTAATTTGGAGTATCCTATCAGGGGCCCCAATTTTTTCTTGGGTGGGCGCCTGAATACCTAGATACGCCTCTGCATCGTACAAGTAAATGTAATTCTTTGCAAAGGAAAGATTAGACCAACACGGAAAAGGCCATTAATAGATAGAATAAATAATATTTAAATGTAATGACAGGCCAATGATATATTTCATAAAGTAAAGATTTGAAAACCAAATAAAAGTAGTATTAATAAATAATGAAACTGTTATTGAAAAATAACGCTGATTTATTTAATATACTCCGCAAACCTACCATTTCATTTTTTTAAACAGAGTAAATATTCAGAGAATACCTAATCCGTATTGGGTAGATGTCGTCCCATGTCACTCAATCATACAAGGTGAAAGTCGGGCATTCAGAAATTGTAACAAGAATTAAATGGCACTATGTCACTAAATTTCCATACATAGTGTGGCGGTTGGAACATGCCCCATACACCCCAGTCGCCCACGCAGCCACGGCGACGCTCAGACACGTTCCCGCAACGCTACTGTAGGTGCGAAACAGCGCGACCTATGTATTATCTGCTACCCGCAGCTCCGCCGCCGGACTTGGTTTATGGCGAGCGCGAGGGGTTGTGTCGCAGTGTAATACCTCTCCAGGAGAGGACGGACAGCTGACTGCTCCTTCTTGAGGGAGTCGTCAACGAGGTCGGTTGAGCCTTCCCGGTTAGTGAGAGTCGTCATCTTGGCGAGAGTACGTAGGAAAGTAATTGTTCGTGCAATAAAGTAGTTAAGAGTGGAGAATCTAAACATTAGAACTGTGATTATAATTGGGCGAATTATAGACTGACGATTCGTAAAGTAACGAGTACGAGACGGAATAGTGGCCGCGAAAGTACACTTGAGCTGATGTGAGGCGTTAGGAGAACTGTTATAATTAGCTGCACGAGAGAGTGTGTGTCGTAAAGAAAGCTAGGAATAATTACACAGTTATCAAACGCGTGAGAACTTTGCAAATACGCGTCGGCGTGCCGCACGCGAAAAGCAGTGAAGAAAGAAGTAGAGCCGATCATCTTGTTCTGGTACCGAACGTTTCAAGAATCAAGACGGGAGAAGTTTTGGCAAGTGTTTTGGCGGAGGGCGAGAGAAGGCGGCGCTTCTTACATCATCATTTGAAGACATTACTCTTTTCATCAATTTCTCTATGGTTTCGGGAACATCATGAAAATGCAGATTGTTGTCGAAATTGGATATAACATTTACGCCAGGAATTTCACTGCGAAACACTTCCGGGAAGCATAACTATGTTACTACATGTCGTCAAATGTAGTAGTACAATCATCTTGCACATTCCAGAATAAATACTGTGTTTGAAGCGCATAACTACTGCTTCCTTTAACACACGATTCCATGCTCCATGGAACCATATAACAGCATCGAGTACAGGTACACTCTTGGCAAATTCTGTCGCATTATTGCACTTATTAGCAAAGTTTATAAGAGCCTACATTGATTGTGGTCTGTAGAGCAGTTTTACGCATTTCCCTTGTCTAGCAGTTGCGCCACATTAGTTCGATTAGGTGGGAGAAACTTAGGGGGTGACATTCGACACATTAAGATCAATATGGCAGGAAGCATATCGCGAACAACCATATATTACGGCAAGACATCTTCATTTGTAAGTTTATTTCTTTCAGCCAATCACCAAAAAATAATACAAGAAGGCATGTATGACGTATTGTATACAAATGACATATCGTATTGTAAACCAGCCTATCGGAAGGCCATTCATTTTAACGTTGTCCTTAAACACTGTGGGATATGCAGCGTTACCAATTACGAGTGGTTTCAAGTGAATGTCAGTAAATGAAGGTTATCCATGTGAAGAAGTAGAGCAAGAAGAAACTATAGCTCAAGAACCACCTTCACATCAGGAAGCAATTTCTTACATTAGTGAATAACGTTATGCATTTGCAAACAACCAAGCAGAAGTAAAAGAAACTTTATTTAGACGGTCATGTAAAATTGAAAAATGAATGGGCTTATTCCACGGCAGTGGCGGCTTCTAGGGTAGTGCCAGTCAGTGTGCCATGGCACCGCCAACAAAAAGGAAAATAAAATTTTCACCGCAAATATATGTATAAAATATCATTTATTTTTTATTGATACGTTATGGCTTGTTATTGCCTTTGATACCGAGTTCGATATAATTTATCTGGATCGAGAGGACAGTTGTTACGAGGGAAATACGAAAAGACAAACCGAGTCAAGTTAACATCTAGTTAATTAGTAATAAATTAAATCGTAATAAACAAAATTGGGTAAAAAAAACAACTGTGTGTGTACCACGGGCGTTAACTGGTTTTAATAACCTCTTGTGCATAAATAACTATTCTTTAAAATATTTTTCTTTGATAATACATTTAAACGAGCGTTTTGTCCTTCGATGCTGTATCAATACTCTCCGGAAATATCCAGAGCGGAGTCAGGTGATATCTGTCGGCCTGTTTCCAAACCGCCAAGCCACCTACGGATTGGCACCATTTAACTCTGTATAAAAGAACGCTTTGTTGGTTTATATGCGTCTCTTAATGAACGGTGCCAAAGTCGAACTGGCACAGTGGTTTACGTTCTGTTCCATAGGGTGCACCAATGTCAATATCTTCATTCAGCAGTCTATCACTCGTTCAGGATGACCCCGATACCCTGGTATTTCGTACGCCTTTCCATGTGATTCACACATGGAGAGGTGGCGAATCTTGAGATTTAATCAAAACAAAACCAACTAGATGCCTCCATATTCTTTTCTTATGAATTTGTCGTTGGTTGTGTCCTTCTAAACTTTCTCAAGCTGATTAGTGAGGATGTAGAAAATGTCCACATTTCTACTCAGTTCCACCAGATCCATTCCTTTACAACAAGTCTCACGTAAATGTCTCACTTTCTCTTTGCTTCCAAATGTTTTTGAGACTGACAAACAAAACAATAACTGTGTCACTACACTGTCGTCAAATGTAGTAGGATATTCTAAGTTGGCTGTCCACTAGATTTCAAACAGGTTATTCTTGACATTCCTCAGGACATTTATTACATTTATTCCAGATCCTTAAGCTCTTGAATGTCCTTACAGTCAAGATTTTTGACAGGTTATGCCTGCTTTATCTTCAATAAGGCATTAGGCTTTCATCATGCGGCGGGAGCACCAATTGCGACAGCGTGCTGTAGGCTGGAAACTTACAAACACCTGAGTGTCTCAACAGCCTTCAGCATTGGAACCACTGTTGATGCCTAGCCAGTTGAATGTCCAGAGAAGGATTTGTGGAGTCATACCTGCAGTCCTTGGTTGGTTGGATGTGGTTCAGGGCACGCCAAAAAACGAAGTCATTAGTCCCATAAGTGTAGTGCATGTCTTTCCTCGGTCGGTGGGGGTGATCTTCTCCCGCTGGATGGCGAGATCCGGCGCCGACCTACCGTCGGCTAACGGGCTTTCCCCCAAACAGGTATATCCCACCAGCGGGGTCCTATCCCAGCCGGGACAAGCTAGTGTCAAAAATCTTCAATGCCGGCACTTGAACCTAGGATCTCTCGGTCAGAGGCCCTGCAGTAGCATCAGTTGATGCACTGAGCCAACTCTCCTGACTGTTGTATTTGGTACCTTCCATGACATTCCCTTCTAAGGATTTTAGATGGCTTATTATTCTTCTAAGGGGAGTAATGTTCTGTGCCTGTGCAGCTGTTATGTGTTAGTGGGCTTGTACTGCAAAATATCAATACTCATGCAAGTTAAAACAGGGAGAAAAGGGGTGGTGGTGTTAGATTTCAAATTGGTGTACTACAATCAATTATTTATGACAGTTAACATCCTCACAAAAGTCATCTATTCTTTCACTTGCTTTTGTTCTGTGCACTAGTGTGTGATCATATTTGGTATGTAATGGATGAGTTAAATGATTGCGTTTAAGTGTTACTATATGAATACAGAGCATTACCACATTGAAGCATATTTAGTGCTTTCACATGCTCTGCCCAACTACAATTTAATTTAACAACAACTTAAATTAATATTATCTTAAATTAATATGGAAAAGTTTCAACTTTGATTCAATGGAAAAGCAGTTTAATTAAGTTGACTGTAACTTACCGATGGCTCTCTTCATTAATATATTCATGCACAGCCATAGGCATGCCCGATTGATCAAGTTCCATAAATAACTTTGTCTGGTCAATACGGAGTGCTCCATCTTCGAATCGCTGATTTCGTAATTTCTTTGCAATTGTTTGAAGATTATTTACCGTTTTGCAAATATCAGACAATGAAAATCCATTTCCAATGGTGGGAAACTCATTTGGATCCCATTCATTTTCAGGATTATCTAGCATTGCCTAAAAAAGAAGGAAGTTTAATTTTTGTTTTGAATTATAAAAAATATTTCGATACGTTTCTCATGAAACTAACCTGTGCATGTTCATATGCAAATTTTACGCATGAATGAATCACTGAACGCACAATCCTCTGAGATATAATTTTTGCATCACTTTTTGAAAATTCCCATATAATAGAATATGCCAATTTATCTTCTCCTGGTAAAAGAGAGCACATGAGGCACAATTCAACTGGAAGCATATGATGTACCTGCAAATTTCACATTGATGGTTACACTATTAGGTATACATTACATAGTACACCGTTATATAAAAAAAGAAAGCATCTATACATTATCACTTTACGACGGTTAATTTTATCTCAACATTTAATTATGATTATTTTTTATATCTAGTAGCAGGTACCTGGCGCACTGCTGCTGCAGAAGAAAAAATTGTGGAAATATCATTTGAAATTTGAAAGTTATCTTGTTCTTTTTCTTATTTAAGACTTAACTGATTTCCCCCTTCCCTTTCTTTCCCTGTCTCTTTCTTTCTTTTTTCCCCTCTCTCTTTTCTCTCTTCCCTCTCCTCTCTTCTTGCACTCCCCACTTTTCCTGTCCTTCTCTGCCTTGACCCACATCATTCGGATTCTATTACATTATGTGTGGTCAAAGAGGACCAAAGATCCTCCAATTAAACTAGATTTAATAGATAACGCAACTACTACAATTTCCAGTGAAAAGCAAAACAAAATAGCTACTAGAAATCAGAAAAAACAGAGTTCTTATAATCTTTAATCTCCTTCAGACGGTCAAGCTCCAGAAGCCACTAGCACAACTAATGTATTCATTGACACAGAGAGGCAAAGGGTTGCTGTCTATTGCAGCATTAAGAAACTAGTGAGGCTTTTCTCACTTTAGTAACTATTATGCAATATTATAATTCTTTTTCTGTCACACTTGTCACCCATCATTTGTAAAACTCATTACTAATTGTAGTGTCTAAGATCCAAAAACGAATTCTTTTTAAGCTAATAAATCAACACCAATTCAACCATTCAAAACTGCGTTCCATATAGTGAGAAACATTGTTGCATAATGGGGAAATTCATAAGAATAATTTCTTAAGAATGATGTTCCTAATAATCACATCCACAAGCTTGCCTCAATTGTTTCAAAGACTGCTTCCAACTACAAAATTATTACAAATCTTCAGAACAATATATGAATTTGTGAATACATAAAAAATGAAGTAATTTTATTGTCATTTATAAATTAAATATTATATCTAGAACACAAGAGAAATGTTTGTACCAAACTTAATTCTTTTAAAGCAAAAACATCAACTATCCAAAACTGCATTCCATGCAGTGACCATTCCATACCGAATGCAAATAGATTGAAAAATATAACAATTATTTTATTTATTACCAATTCGAGAATAATTTGTCTATTTTTACAAACATTATTTTTGTATGTAACTCATTGAATCATATAAAGCCTTACTAGAACAGGACACAATTTACAAAGTATCAAACCAATTGAAATATCAAAAATATAATAATGACAGGAGAAAGAAAACTACATAAGATTTAGCATTATCATTCGAATCTATACAATAAGGCACTAATATATCTCGAAAACTCCACATCCATACTTTCAATTTAATAATTCCAATGCATTCCTGTTAAGAGTTCTGCATATTCTATTAAATGGAGTGAATGTTCTTGTACTGACAACACAAACATGGTCTTAAATGGAATGATGGAACCCTGAAGTGCAAAACAAAAATGGGCAACTGATGTTGTCATTGGGAAATTTCTTCAAAAAAATGAAATCTCCAAATGCATTGATATTTTTTCATGTTTGTGGTTGATAAAGGGATTTGAAAGTTCCATAGTGCATGCGGCAATTCTAAAACTTTGTTGCACAGCCCTCAAAGAGAGTAATTCTTGTCACTCCCCCACCAGACTCAATAGGTGATTTTCGCTTCACTAACATTTAACTGTATATGGTCTCCTTAAGAGTTTCTCGAGTCAAAAACCAAACTTAGATCTCTTAAAGATGATACTCTCTTCAATACTGTGGAATTTATAAAACATATTAGTCAGTATTTCCTATCGATCTAGACCTATCAAAGGTGATATTTTTACATATATTTCATTCATTTAGATTAATATCTAAATCATTGTCAAAGCACCATGCAGAAAAGAAAATAAGTGCATTTAACAAGTCTACTGTATCCTGTCATGTTTGTATACATTTATAACTTTACAGATCATCTGCAAAAACCAGATACTCAACATTTCAATGCCATTAATAAAAATAAAAACAGGAATTGAACCGAATGACAAGTTTGAGGTACTCCTGAGGATGCTGAGTTGCATGTGACATTACATATCTTTAGGTTATTTATTGAACTCATCCATTTAAAGAACTGTAGAACCACCATACCAGTGGACCATTCATATGAAATAGTTAAAGTTTAGAAACAAGTACTGAATGATTCACCGAATCAAAGCCGTTATAAAATTAGTGTGAACACTGTCGACCCTAAAACCCTATTATCCATAGCCTCAAGAACATAATGAGAATAGTCAGCCACATTTACCAACATTTTCTTCTTTGTCATAAACCCAGGTTACTTTTTAGAGAGAAAAGGATGAAACAGACAACCAGTTTTAATCATGTCAATAGATTCAAACAATTTAGGTATAATGCTGAAGATTGTAAACGCCTATAATTACAAATACAATTGCTATATCCACGAGTTTTGTTAATTGTTATGAGCAGCTTCCACAAGACATTTATCAAAAATAAGTTACAAAATTTGTGCAAGGACAAATATACAGTTTTCCAGAAACATTACACAGACATTATCTGGAAGCTGACTTCAAATCAAGGTTATCAAATCTTATGGAAAATATTCATGCACTACACACTCTTTCAACAACTGTGAAATGGCAATCAGGCCTGACAAGAATCCTTAATGCTTTACGTTTTCTTTTTTCCATGAAGATATTTACCCTTTTTTTGCGATACTAAAAACAAAATGCTTAATTTAATCTCCCCAAAGCACCTAAATTTTGGACTTGCGTAACTTACTGTATCAACAAGATAGACGCTAGTAGCTCGTTTTGAAACTTCAATGTCCAAAACAGAATCTTCTTCTAAGAAAAACGTAACATCAGATATGTGAACTCCTATTTCAAGATTACCATTTTCGAGTTCCTTACACGAAACAGCATCATCAAGATCCTTTGCTGTTCTAGGATCAATAGTAAAAATACACTCCTTCCTGAAAGAAAACAAAACATAATATACTATACTTCTAATACACCCTCAACTAAAATTGGTAAATTTCTGGCATTTTGAAACAGCAATTTTTCAATACAATACTAGTATTTTTCTTAGATCATTCTCAACTATCTAATGAGATTTCAGAACTATCATCAAAGAATACAAAACTCTGTATTATTTACCTATTGTCCACTTATCTAACTATAACTTAACTATTTCACTTATACTGATTTGTCCAAATTCTACATTTTAAGTTTAATTCAAACATAATCATGAGCTTTCGCAGAGGGGAGGTAAGGGAGTCATGAGCCCCTGAAAATTTTACAGGCTGTTCCATATTTCCCCCCCTTAAATATGTACAGTGCCTGATTTTTTAAACTAGACTATTTGATGAATTGTTATATTCCATTTGAGACAGAGGCTATCCAAACCATCTGGCAACCTTGTAAATGGTTCAACTTAAAGTCAATTATATTTATTAATTGTATTATTACATTTATAATTTCATTCTCCTTGTACTATTTTTGTATTTACTAGTAAAATATATCAGATGTAAGCAAAAACGTTAATTGGAAACGGGGCCCCCTCAAACGAAGTTGGCCCCCCACTCTTATTTAAGGATGTGCACGCCTATGAATATAATCCAAACCAATAGAACTTACCTTAGATCCTCCCTTTTATTGAGCTCTTCTTCACTGATTGAAAATGAGGAAGATAAATACTGATTGTAGATTTCTTCTGGATATGGTGTCACATCTAGATCATTGTCCAGTAGAATAGCTTCTGTTTCAACATGCACATCGGCTGTTTGTCCAAGTTCCTTCACAATTTCCCTGAGAAATAGTGATACTCAAAGAATCTCTTATAAAGTATAAAATAACAATTACAATAATAAGTAGCAACTTCAACAAGTAAAACCTCTCCAACAATGACAATGGCAATACCAATCCAACTTCCACAATTACAGCAACAACTCTATCACACTAACTTTTTGTAATTTCAAAATTACGTAAAAAAGGAAAAAGAGGCTGCAACAAATATTCCAATATATCATTGTAGCTTTTCCAAAAAGACAAAACACTGCTTAGAAACTATACAGCACAGCATACAAAATTGATAACGTTTTATTATTAACCTTTATTTGGTATCACGTTTCAACGCCTTTAATTGGCATCAGCGGGTGTGATAATGTTCAAGCTTAATTCCTACAATTCAATTTTATTTGACAACATTGTACTTATCTGCTGGTATAAAAATTAACATTTGTTTTATCAAGGTTTATGATGATGCAAGACACTTTGTGTTTGAGTCCCTGGGAAGACAGAATTTTGAACAAACGGTCATGACACACATATTGGACCAGAGTAAGTCTCGTAAATATGACAGGGTGGGTGAGACAATATCAAGAGCCAACTGGCTGTGGAGTGGATCAACTGATGTTACTACAGTGTCTCTGTAGGTGTGGTTCTATGGTTCGAGTCTCAACGATGGCAAGACTTTTGAGACTAGCTAGACAGCTTAGTCGAATACAGCTGCTGCCTGGGGGAGAATACTATCTGCTAGCAGCTTTACATTGTTTCTCCGTTAAACACTAGGAGAATGCCAGAGCAGTTCTATAATCCTAACATACAGGCTATGGACCACACTGGGAAGAAACCCTAGCTAACATGAAGGTCGATGCCAGATCTCATCATCCCGCAGAGAAAGATCATCACCACCTCCAGGGAATAAAACACACTTCACTTACGGACCTAATGACCTAAGCGGTTGACACACCCAGAATCTCTAAATAATCATTGGAGGGTTGTCACACCACTTGAAGAATTTATTTTTCCATAATAAATGCCTTCATTTGAGTACTTGAATCATATTCATGTTCATTTTCTTGCTACTGTTTGGTTTCAGAATCAGGATCAGATTCTTCTAAACAATCAGAAACATCTCCTCTGCCTTCAAGTTCTTCCAAAACATCTTCCATAAATAATTCAAAGCCCTCATCATCAGGTCCAATTAAGGAAGGACCAGATCTTCTATATATCGCCTATAATATGTTATGGAAGAAATATATTGTCTCTATAATTGTTATATCTGAGTTATTGTATCACTATGTGAAAAAAAAATACTCAAGCAATTGGTATTGGTGATATCACGTATTACACAACACAGAAAATTTACACAACTCTCAAAAGAAACCACTAGTGAAGCTCTTACTTTGTTCAAAAATAGCTCTACACACACAAGGAAGGTACGGAGCAGCTGGACATGTAAACACAACAGTCAGTGATTGTTGCACAAGTCTCAACTTAGCAGCATGATATGTCAGATTGTGATACCAACTTAAGGTTAAAATTTCACATTGAACTATTAAAGCAAATATTTATTTCTTTACACCACAAAGAGATCAAATGAAACAGCAAAATCAGAAATACTGCAATAACAGTAATGCTACAAAAATTCTAGCATCAAACCAAATGTTCAAATGCAATACAAAACTTGAAATTGCGTACAGTGGAGATAGTTTATTGTGGATCACCTAACAAGTTTGGTACAGCTACTCACACCAGATAAGAGAAGTGAGAAATAGTATGAAAATTAAATAGAAGAAAATTGTGCTTAAAAGCAACCATCCAGGAGTATTAAGAAAAGTGCACAAACTAAAAAAAAAATAGTATTACAGCAAATGGTACTTGAATTAAACAATAGATTATTTAAATACCATAACAAAGAGACTTCACAAGCAACTAAAGACACTCTGAGACAAAAAATTGGAAAAGTACAGAAATGCCTTCAAAAGAGATTGTATTCTTTCCCAAACCATATTACAATAAGTATCAATCAACAACATTTGATTATTGTTTTGACACTATTGTAAGTTTTACTTACCCCAATGCAAATGATCCAGCTGTCCATTTTACCATTTTCCCCATATACAAAGTTTTTTCCTTGGAAGCGGGATCCAGCCAAAAATCTTTTGGACATTTGTATTGAGGAATTTGCATCCGAGGGATACGAGCATCACGAGGTGAAAATAGTGCATTCTTCTCGTTTGGATTTTTCATTAATTTTAAATACCCAACACACTTTCGTGAATGTTGCATTGACAAAATACAAACCACCTACAAATTTGAGATACAATATATTTCTATTCAACATAACAAACCAAGGTCAAAAAAGTAAATAAATAAATAAAATCTACTCACTTTTCCAGTAACTTGAGGCTTTTGACTAGAATCAAATTCCACAACACTTAAATCTGCTAAAACTTCTGTTTCTTCTTCTTCATATAATTCTGAAGTGTCTGCATTACTTTCGCCATTTCTTTTCTCTTGGCCTTGATTTTTTATTTTCCACTCTGACGGGTCTTTCAACTGTACTGCTACAAGATCACCTTCAAGAGCTCTGTTGCGATCAGTAATTCCCTCAATCAAAATATCTTGGCCTCCAGTCTGCAGAAAAATTAAAATACAACTCATGAATTTGTGATAACAAGAAAAGAATTAATTTATATCAGGAAACAAGTATAAAGATAAATTAGGGAATATTCGTACCATTCCATTCTCATAAATATTAAACAAGTTGACTTGCAGTTCATAAAACTTACCGGAGATGAAACATAAGCTTCAGTGTACCGTTTTAGATTAATCCGAATGGGGCCCTGAAACATAATTGTGTACTTACTAAGATGGCACTCACGTGAGTTAAAATAAGTTATCAAAATACAATTAATTATAATTACTCAAGATATACCTCAATCACAGTTCCATTTTGAATACCTTCCTTCACAGCCTCAAGAGACCAATATTCTTCAAATTGTTTGCTCCTGCAATACAAAACTATGGTTTCAAATCTGTAATGGAATGAAAGATTTGACAAATCTCATTAAATTTTTTACTACTCACTTTTTCTTTTGTTTCTTTTCTGGAGATTTTTGTGTTGGTGTTGAATCTTCAGTATGATCCCCTGCACCTCTCTCTGCAGTAGAAGTTGTCGTTCCTTTTTTAATTTTTGACTTTTCCTTCTTTTTCTTGAGATTACTCTGATTTTCAGTTGCTACTTCCAGCTTTTTATTTTTTTTCTTAACACCTTTGTCTGTTTTAGCTTGCTCTTGGGTTATTTTAATTTGGGATTTTAAATTATCTAATTCACGTAAAAGATTTTGATTGAGATTGGGATGTTGCGAACTACCTGGCAAATTATTTGGGCTTTTTATTTGCAATAATTGATATAACTCCTCCAAACTTTTAGCAAAATCTTGGGAGCATCTGTCATTTGACTGCACATTATGCCCCTTTTCTACTGACAATTTTTTTTTACCTTTGATTTTGGCTGCTTCTGATCTCCCACATGCCTGAACACTACAGCCTGCCTGTCCCATAGAGCCACTAACACGATTTCTTAATTTAGACACCACAGCATTGTCCTTTTGTTCTTGACTAACAACTTCTGCATTTTCATTTCTTTGTTCAAGGTTTCTCATTTTTCGTCTCTTTTCTGCTGATTTAGACTTACCAGAACCAGAAGGACACTCAGATTCTAATCTCTGCTTAATTTGTACTGAAGTATCACATTCCGAAACACGCTGTATTTGTTGAACATTGACATTACTAACTTGAAACGTTTGTTCACTTGTTCCAGCAGTATTTCCTCCTTGCTTGCAGTTATCATCCACTTGCTTATATTTTGTTCCAGAAGTAGTATCAGCAGCATCTTCACCTTTCTCTTCATCCTTAGGTTTGGTAATTCCAAAAACACTGAACACTTGATTCAAACGTTGAACACTAAATGCCTCATCAGAGTCAGGATCAGTTTTAGTCGACTGACCATTAGGCACTTCTGTGCTGAAAGATAAAGTGAAAATAAGAATGAATAAATATCCAGATTTTCTTAATTAAATTCACTTAACACACTTTTTAATACAAATTTAAAAACGAATAACTGACTGTAATAGATCATCATATGATTGTTCTGCAAGAATAGTACAACACAAGATAACATTTGAATTCCAATTTATGTTAAGAATTCTATAAATATAAGATTCTAAGAAAAACCCAAGCAACAATTCTGGCTTGGCAAAACTAACAAAAGCAAAGTACTTGCACTAACAAAAGGAAAGAAAGGAATCTCCAAATATCGAGACTGACAATGGATTTGAATCTCCGAATATAAAGCTATGAATTACAGTATTTTTTAGTTACTAAGAGAAAAATGTTTGATGATTTTTAATCAGAAATAAACACAAATATTGATTTACAGAATGTTTTCAATAAGCACAATAAAAAAAAAAATTCTTGGAAGATGAGAGGTCTGGACAAATGAAAAGATTCTGAACATAAATATTCCAAACCTAATTAGTTGCAACAAAAGCTTCATGCCTTTTTTATTTTATTTATATTTTATTAATGAACAAAGAAAGTCAATACTTAATGTTCATTTTGACCAATTCCCTCGCCAGTTTTGGGGTTAAATATACTTAATGTACTCAAATATTTGGGAAAGAGTATTGTTTCTCACCTGTCTTTTCTGACATTATCAGATTCCTTCTTTTTATTCTTCTTTCTCCTATTTTTCATAGCAGGTGATTGGTTCACTTCCAATTCAACAACATTAACACTATTTGCAACACTTATGATATTGGAATCTACTTGTTTTGAGTGTTCATCCAATTCATTTGAATTATTTGTAACAGAATTCTTTGCGGTTTTGAATGTATCTGGGTTTGTTTCATTCATCAGCAATTGACAAGCATTTTCTGTGGTTTCAGGCACCTGCACATTCATCACTGTTGCACCATCTAGATTTTCTTGGGCAATGTTCTGAACCACAACTTTGTCAGCAGAACTACTTGCTTCAGGCAAAGACATTTCTCAATCTTGTTACAGAAACTTGAGTAATAAATGTTCAACTGCTGACACTAGTCCCTGGCAGATAACACACTTGGAAAAATGTAGGGTAAATTATCTCCCCATTTACCATGGCGTGCAAACTATTTCAACACTTTAAAAACCATTCTTTACAAGTCATTTGTCTTTGCAATAATGTCTTCTATGATACTACATCTGAAAAAGAGATTTAAATAATTAAATATTACAAAATTTTCGTTGTAAGAACAACACAAGACGTGTCAGATCTCTGTACATCATGATATACATGAGTTTACATCATGATCAATCATGTCTCGAATAAAGATAGTTCTTTTTCATATTTATATCGATTATTTATTAACAGAAATCGTTACTATTCTTATGTATTATAGTACCAGTTGGTGGAAAATTGTTGCAATTTATTGCGTATACCTTGCACCTCCGTTGCAACAAGAATGTGACCTAAATGTATTGGTACTTGCGCGACCAGTAGTATCGCACTTACTCCTAGCCTGGGCTAAGTAGCATCCACTCACCTACTATCTGTATTTTCATGCACTTGCAACCCAATTTCGAAATTCACGAATCAAATTATATTTTATGTTATCATTCCTCGTGCTATTAACACATACGGTAGTTGTGGTATGTTCAGTACGGTATCTCAGTACCGGGACCAGCCGCTGTGACCTTTGCCTTGTCGCTCCAGTTGGCAATACATGTTTTCTATGTGCAGGGCGGGTAGTAATAATTCAGATTTTGGTTACTAATAAAACGATTTACTTTTCGTATTTTTTTATTTTATGCATATACTTTCTACCTCAAAATTGTTCAGAGAATGTTTTCGAGACCATAGGTAAAATAACGTACACATTTCAGAATATCTTTCTATATTTACTGAACAACACCAAGACTTTCGTTGGCTGCTCTGGATTAATATCATTAATATTTTATGCGGCAACGTTCAAATGTTACAACGCTTCGACAATTGAGATGACAACGACGATCTATCGTGTTTCGAAAATATAGATACTTTTCCGTAAACATATCGGTATATTAAAAACAAAAATTATGTATTAAAATTTACCGAAAATATTTATCAGCTTTTGGCGCAGAATAATTCCAAAAAACCCCTTCGAACCACAACATTATTTAATTTCTAAAGCCGAGTATACGATATTTTTTGCGTTGTACAGTATGATCATCTCCAGACACATTTCATTAGTGACGGGTGAGGCCCCAAAAGATGGAGGTTGGAATTCCATCTAAAGAAGATGTAATACATACATGCATAAACAAATGCATTATATACTGTTCTGGTATACTAGAAGTTCCTGCTTTACGTGGGTTCCAGAAGCTTGATTTTTTTATCTTTCTATTACGTGATTTACGTTATTTAAATATAACGCAAAGCTGACATTCTTTATGCTAGTAATGCTAGACTCCGTCCCTATATCATCAGTTCCACACAATATATCTGAAAAGCAAAGCAGGCCTGCCTTTGAATCACATCCTCATTATCACCAGCATTTACTATCAAAAGCTCCCTTGAATTTTCGATTAAATACACTTTTTTCAAATTTTACATTCTGAGTAAAATTTTGAGAACTTTAAATACGCCTTCCAGATTTCATTTCCAGTTTTTCTTCAATAGTGAGAATAGAATGGAAGAAAAATATTGGTCAGTCTCAGTTCACAAGTAAAAGTAACAGTAGGAGCGATGGCGAAAACTACAACTACAACAATAAAAATAAACTCTCACAAAAAGTAACTGTGGTTGGAACTTTCACGCACATTCGTATGCGAAAAATGCAAAATCACTTCGAGGTTAGACTTTGCAAGAACTACATGCGATTACACCCAGAGATCCAAAAGAAAAGTTCAAGGCGATCAACCTTCCTTCACAAAAAACTAGGCTCTTCAGATGCACATTTGGAATCAATAACCTTTTTCAGAGAAAATATTTTTGGTTTTCGAAATATTTAATTGAAAGTCACTTAAAGCCCTTTCATTCACAAATGCTATAGATTTTACAATTCGCTATTAACGGCGTGAGAGTTATTTTAAAAAAAACACATTTGAGTATTTTTTGAAAAACAAAAGAATAGCCCAAAATGAAATTTACGGCATATTAAACAGTGCAATTAGCACTATTCGTTGGAAAAGTTTGAAGAAACAATTTGGAGCCAATTTTGTGAAAATGGCGTTTGAGTACTTCTGAAAATGCGGTATATTTAGCTAGTTTTCACACAAAACTGTTGCGTTTTCGAGAAACTTTATTTGACATCATTTAAAGCACATGTACTCATAAATGTAATAATATGAAGAACTCGTCGCACATGTAAATTTTAACGACGTGAGAGGGTAGCCGAGAAAATTACATTTTTGTCTTTTTTGAAAAAACAAAAGAATGGCATTTGTGTCATCTCATAGAATACATTTATTACTATCCCTAACAAAAGTTTAAAGAAAACATTTGAAGCCGTTCTTGAAGAAATTTTGTTCTTATTATTTTTTGAATTGCACATAACATTGCGCGAAAACTACAGAGTTTCAAAAAATGTGCATCACCTCGTTGAAAAAATCGGGAGAACAAATTTAATTTGAAGGACATTTTTTTAGCTTCAGTTTTATAGGTGTAGGAAGACACTAAAAAAACAATATTTTGAAATATTTGAAAAATATGAGTTAACGGTGAAAATCAGACCTATGCCACTTTTATCAGTGCATTTTACTCTATTCGTACCAGAAATTTAAAGGAAAAATTTGGAGGCTTTTTGTGAAAATTTTGAAAGTGTCTAGGGGGGCTTCCTGTAAAGTTCTGCTAAATTATAAAGAATGTTTTTCAAAATCTCAAAGCTTCGACTCGTGCCAAGTCGACAGGAGTTTCTTCAATTTGGAAAAAATCCTACGTATGGTTTAGGCGCTTAACAGAGTTCATAGACGCACGGGCAGACAGATGACGGATAGACGTTTTGGAAAAAAACAACACCATTTGGGTAACAGGGGACCCCAAACCGTGCATTTCCGTTGAAATTCCGAAATTGATCTTCCGCAGCATTACATAACTTTCTACCCACTACATATATTACTTCGTATATACGGGAAAGAGAAAACGGGTGTTTTACATGGCAGATTCGTAAAAACGAGGTCGAACACATGCTTGAATAGTCCAAATACAATTATTGCAAAGATAAGAGGCCCAGAAAATGTTGTCTCGATATGGGATAAATGAATAACCTTTAATTTCTCATTTGGTTAAAAACAAAAGTTTCACAATAATGTGTTCTCATAAAAGGTGTCAAAATGTAAAGTGTAACAATGTCATCAAGTGCATCGTACGTCAGTTTATTTTTCACTTTTCTTAAATATAGCATACCTTACTATCGTATCCTTACTTCGTTAGAATTATCAAGAACGCGTGTTACTGTGACATTGAAACTAAAAAGAGACCAACGGATGTGACCTTTGCCATCAGTCGTGAAAGTACGAACGCGCTAGAAATCTGACACCGGTTGATAGACGATAGAAAATATTATTTCTAATACTCCATAACACTTCAAAACTTGAATAGCGTGTGGGTTTTGAATGGTGTTCTACCAGCGGGCGAAATGTTGAGAATGTTTGGTGCCCTCGCTTCCAACATCTGATGTCCCGCCAAAGGGGAGTTGTTTTCCCACGGACGACTGACATCTACATCTTAGGGTTTCGCCGGTCGTCTTTGTGAAGGTCGCGGAGGGCAAAATTATTTTTCCTTGTGTATTAATATGCACGATGGGATTTCGGCAGCGACAGATTTCTTCACATCTTACGTACCTCCTACAAGTCTGGAGAAAATTAGCACACCATTTGAACGAAAATCACTTTAAAACATTTTAAATAGATGATTTGATATTATAAATTTAAGATTTTTTTAAAAAAATATGCATTGTATAAAAACAGACCTTTAAATGACAATTAAAACTGAAATATCAATAGCAAAACAAACACTAACGAGGCTTGAATTGTTTTGCGCGAACGACGACATCGATAATATGAAGATCAATATTTCTCATTTTCACTTACAAGTCATTTTACATGTCCAATTTATTAATTTTTTAAAATGTAAAATTATGGGAAAATCCTCATTCACAAAGTTGAGATGGCATTTATGGTATCAGCTACTTCAAGTCTTTGTGCGGACAATGCAAAATACAATTTTCCAACGTCCAGCTAAACATTGTGTGCATGGCATTGAGAATATAAATTGAGAAAAAGTAAAAAAGTAGAACAATGTAGAAGAAGGTTTTAAAGTATATCTGCTACAAGAAGAGAGTATTAAAAAGCTATATCAACAGAGACTAGATAATTACTTAGAAAATATAGGAACAAGCGATAAAGTAGAGAAAGAATGGGAAAATATTAAAACCTGCATAGAAAAAGCCGCTTTTGAAAGTCTAGCGAAAAAAATGAAGTTCAGGAAAAAGAAAGGACTCAGAGTATGGAATGAAAAACTTAAAGAAGCAGTGGCAGAGAAAAAGAAAGCATACTCGAAATATCTTCAAACACGAAATGAAGAAACTAAGAAAGAATATAACTGCTATAGAAATGAAGCCAAAAGGCTATGTAGTATAGCACATCAAGAGGCGTGGGATCACTTCATAAATAGAATAGAAAATTATATTCATGGAAAGCAAGTACTAGCCTATAAAGTAATGAGACAACTCAATCAAAACGAAAAAGATACCGTTCAATTGAAAATTATAGATGAAGAGAAATGGCTGCAAAACTATAATAATCTATGGTTCAATCTACGGGAAGAAAAGGAAGAACGCGAAGAACAAAAAAAAGATAATATTGATCCACTAACAATAGAAGAATTATTACAGTATTAAAAGAAATGAAATGTATATATATTTGCACCCGTAGTCCTGTATGGGAGTGAAAATTGGATTCTCTCTCAAAGAGAAAAAAAATTAATATTCAAGCTAGAGATATGAAATTTTTAAGGAGAGTAAAAGGTTGTACTTTGCTAGACAAATAAAGAAATGAAGATATAAGAAAATAATTAAATATATTTAGTCTAAATTATTGTGTACAACTATACAAACAAGACTGGAAAAAACATTTAGAAAGAATGGAGCACAATAGGCTACTTAAACAAGTGCTGCAGTACAACCCAACAGGAAGAAGAAGTGTAGGAAGACCGCGTAGATGGTTTGGTATGGGAAGACAGAACAGGCAGCCGCCTAATCCCTGAAGTGCAGAAGAAGAAGAAGTTAAAAAGTGAGAAAGTAAAGAGAGATTTAATACTGACATTTTCAATAGTAAATTATAATTAAAACTAAGTTAATTATTTTTCATATCATTCATTCAATTTTTCTCGTGACCAGTAGTTGGGTTTCAACCAGAAATTACGCAAAAACTACTTTTTTTGTTGAAAAATTGTACGTGATCTTTTTTAAAAGGGATAATTTTGTACAACAGACTTTGTCTGAGACAAAAATCTCTATCTTCAGTTTTGAAGTGTTAATTGTTTTTGTTTTTTCAGTTTTCGAAAAATCGGGGATGTCAACGAAAACGCGACCTGAACCATTCTTTTAAACGTCCTTTGCACTATTAAACAACAAAATTTAATCAACAAATTTGGAGCTATTTTTAAAATTTTAAAAATGTTCTGGATGCGTATGTAAAGAACCCCCCCCCCAAAATAAATATCGGTTTCAAAATTCAGGGGCCGCGACATCAAAGCGATTGAGGGATATCAGTTTTGTAGGAAATCAGTTGAACGGTTTATGCGCTAGCATTGAGCACAGAAAGAAGATTTGCTTGAATTGAGTTTTCGGTAAGAAGGACGCACAAAACATGGATTCTAGCTACACAA